CATGATCTGTTACTGTGTGTACACTAACTGGGTATTTATCATGATCTGTTACTGTGTGTACACTAACTGGGTATTTATCATGATCTGTTACTGTGTGTACACTAACTGGGTATTTATCATGATCTGTTACTGTGTGTACACTAACTGGGTATTTATCATGATCTGTTACTGTGTGTACACTAACTGGGTATTTATCATGATCTGTTACTGTGTGTACACTAACTGGGTATTTATCATGATCTGTTACTGTGTGTACACTAACTGGGTATTTATCATGATCTGTTACTGTGTGTACACTAACTGGGTATTTATCATGATCTGTTACTGTGTGTACACTAACTGGGTATTTATCATGATCTGTTACTGTGTGTACACTAACTGGGTATTTATCATGATCTGTTACTGTGTGTTCACTAACTGGGTATTTATCATGATCTGTTACTGTGTGTTCACTAACTGGGTATTTATCATGATCTGTTACTGTGTGTTCACTAACTGGGTATTTATCGTGATCTGTTACTGTGTGCACACTAACTGGGTATTTATCATGATCTGTTACTGTGTGCACACTAACTGGATATTTATCATGATCTGCTACTGCGTGTACACACTAACTGGTTATTTATCATAATACTGGGTATTTAGCCAAATAAACTCAGATGCTACTGCCTGTTCACCAACTGAGTATTTAGCTAAATCAGCCATGGCGGATCAGAATGATGTAATATTAGGAGACACATAACTGTTTTGGAGTGACATAATTTGTCCTGTGACTGACCCAGTGAGAGATTTCTGGCACAGGTCAAGCTGCTCCTGGAGATGCGGTAATATCTGAGTCATCATGTCATCCCCAGAGCAGAAGGAAACAACATTGTCATTCTCATGGGCTCTTTGCATCACTTTCATCCAACTCTTATCAATGGCAGAAAAACGTTTGGATTCCTGGGATATTTGTTTACAAGTAACAGAAATTTGTATGAAAAGAAAATCTAAATTTTATAATTTAAAAAAAAAATAATAAATACATTTGCATACGTCATTTCATCAGAGAGCCAAAAATACATCAATATATAAAGTTTGCATTTTCATAGATGTGCCATCTATTTTAAAACAGAGCCAAATTTAGGGCATTTTTTTTTTTGTTGTTATCTTGGGCACATTTTTTTGTTAACACCAGATTTAACCTGTGGTAGCTGCTTGGCTATGTCTCCCCCGACAAACACTGCCTCCAGGTAAATCCAAGTGTTCTGCACCACCATCCATTGTTCCAAAACATCTGCTGTGGTACTGAGACTAAACAACCATTGCTGAATCTTATTTTTATAAGGGGCATTATATCTGCAAGTGGAGACACACTAGTTGTAGCAAATGTTGGAGGACATAAATAATGATACATTATGGGCCAAAAGTAACGGTACTGAAACTTGAGTATCTTGAAAACATCATGTGTTTGTCACCAATTCACAGCTCCAGCCACCACATTTTTGCAGTCATAAAAAGCAAAATATGCCGGGACGTTGTTTTTTGTAAATCAGTCTCATGACAGAAAGTATTCAGAGTTGACCATTATTTTCACTCCTGCGTAAATGATTAAGTAATTGCGTTTGCAAAGAAAGTGACACAAATTTCAAAGAATGATTTAACAAGACAGCACCAGGTAACCCAGTTATGCCGTCTATTGTTATGTAATCTTTTCATTATAGAAGTGTATTGTATCAACAGGAGAGGAAGTCTTGTCGACCAGTAAGTTTCCTGATAATGAAAATCAGGCCTATGTTCTCCAGAAGTTGCTGCGTTCACCCCTACAAAGTCGACGAGGAACTTCTTTAGAACAGAGTATCAGCTCACCCATTTTTAAGGACTTAGGTGCATTTTCTTAGCAGAGACTGCCTTGAAAATGCTTGGCAGAGCCAGAGATGCAAGCCAGAGATGCAAGCCAGATATGCAAGCCAGACATGCAAGCCAGAGATGACAGCCAGACAAGCAAGCCAGAGATGACAGCCAGACATGCAAGCCAGAGATGACAGCCAGACATGCAAGCCAGAGATGACAGCCAGACAAGCAAGCCAGAGATGACAGCCAGACATGCAAACCAGAGATGACAGCCAGACATGCAAGCCAGAGATGCAAGCCAGAGATGACAGCCAGACATGCAAGCCAGAGATGACAGCCAGACATGCAAGCCAGACATGCAAGCCAGAGATGACAGCCAGAGATGCAAGCAAGAGATGACAGCCAGACATGCAAGCCAGAGATGACAGCCAGACATGCAAGCCAGAGATGACAGCCAGAGATGCAAGCCAGAGATGAAAGCCAGACATGCAAGCCAGAGAGGACAGCCAGAAACAGCCAGAGATGCAAGCCAGAGATGACAGCCAGACATGCAAGCCAGACATGCAAGCCAGAGATGAAAGCCAGAGATGCAAGCCAGAGATGACAGCCAGACATGCAAGCCAGAGATGACAGCCAGACATGCAAGCCAGAGATGACAGCCAGAGATGCAAGCCAGAGATGACAGCCAGACATGCAAGCCAGAGATGACAGCCAGAGATGACAGCCAGACATGCAAGCCAGACATGCAAGCCAGAGATGACAGCCAGAGATGCAAGCCAGACATGCAAGCCAGAGATGACAGCCAGAGATGCAAGCCAGACATGCAAGGCAGAGATGACAGCCAGACATGCAAGCCAGACATGCAAACCAGAGATGACAGCCAGACATGCAAGCAAGGATGTTGAATTGTTGAAATTTCTGTCTGTGGTGTATGAGGATACAGATTTTAAAAGGAATGAGTAATTCTGCCCTTACAGGTGGATGAGACGTTCCAATCCCTTGAATAAGTTACATTTCTAGAACCATGTCACTTGTCGCCTTCTTTTTTTTAATCGCTCTCGGAATTGTTCTAACAACCCTTTTTTTCAAATATGGTTACCCTTTAAGTTGACCAATGTGTGAGCGAAACATTGCGCCACTGTTATTACTTTTCTTTGGTGCAGAGGCCCCTTTCTAACAACTGCCCAACATATATTCCTTTCCACTGTTATGGTCACCTGGTGGCTGGAGCTATGCAAAATTTGACAAAAACAAGTACACATTCAAGATGCCTGAGCTTCAGTACTGTTTGCTTTGGCTCATGCTAAATATATATATCAAATATACAATTACAAGTCAGAATTACTAGTAGATCATTTGGCTCCCAATAAGAATTTAGATAATATTTGTTGGCATTATAAATTACTCACAGAAAATAAAATAGACAACCCCAACATAAGTATCTTTAACACCAACCCCATTTATATAATTTACTGACCCACCGATTGCTAATTAAGGAACTCAGCACCATCAAAGAGTCTTCTAGAAGGCTTATAGTTTCCTGAGCCTCTGATGTCTTTAGGAGAAGCTCTCCTCGATTCTTGAAATTTGAGAAGGTCATTATTCGATTGCTCCAGTCGGATACCACTTGCTTCAGTTTGGCCTCAATGTCTTTCTCTTTTACTGCAGAGACGCAGATGTCCTGGAGGATGCATTTTTATATTGGCTCCTATTTATTCATTTCACAAGTGTCTAAAACTTTAAAAGTATACCAAAAACACTGATAAATAAAAATAGTTAAGAGCTAATTATTTTTTTAAGACATGGTCAAAATAGAACTAATTTAAAAAACATTTTTTTTCTAAAACTTGCAATCTAAATAGTCTGCCCACTTTTAGCCCCCATTAGAAAGACAATTGAAAGAAATGTATGACAGACTCAAGATATTATGTCTGCGGTAGCATTTAATGACAGTGAAGACGCAAAAGTAAAATTGCTCTGATTTCTGAAAAAATAATTGATATGTTCTAAGAAATGTGATAAACTTTATCCAAAGTCAGGAGAAGATCAACCTATAAATAATGGTTTTCATGTGACACCAATACATGATGATGTATTCTTGATGTGGTGCCATCATATGAAGATGTATTCTTGATGTGGCGCCATCAGATGAAATGTATTTTTGATGTGGCACCATCATATGAAATGTATTCTTGATGTGGCACTATCATAGGAAATGTATTCTTGACATGGCACCATCATATGAAGATGCATTCTTGATTTGGCACCATCAGATGAAGATGTATATGGATCTAAAAGAATTTCTTATTTTCTGATACTTATGTTTTTCAAACAGTCCTAGAAAATATTTTATAAGACCAAAAATTGATGCAACAAGGCCATACATTGATGTAATAAGGCCATACATTTATTTATGCACTTTAAGAGGAAAAAATGAATTATAGAAATATGAAATAGATGATGTTCATAAACATAAACATGAGAAAAAGGGGAGACAAGGCTTGTTAAAAAGATAACTCATGCGATTGTGCCCTCAATGGATATAAACCAAGCAAAACTTCACCTCAACATCATCTTTGACAGGGAGGAGAGGAGCCGTCATGATGTCTTTTAAGTGGACATTTTCCATGACGGCCTCCATGGGCTGGTCAAAGGACAGGTCAAAGTCAAACTTGTAGTTGGCCACGCTTTCGATCCTCCGCCAGTGCCTGGTCTGCATGGACTTGTTGGCCATCAGCTCCAGCAGAGGCACGGTCTCGTTGAAGTCATCAATCCTCTTCTTCAGGTCATTGTAAGCCGGCCAGTCTTTTAGTGCCTTCGGAAGCCTCCGGCACCTTGACACATTGGAGCAGAAGTATGTTTTAGAATCAGCAGTAACACTTGCTAAAAAAAATATTTCTCAAAATGATATGCAAAAGAAAGTTACAGAACTTTAGTGATGAAAATAGTTTTAACTGTGGTCTGGAAGAGGGGTCACTGGAAGAGGAAGTTGTGAAAATAACCTCTGAATCCTCATGAGAAACTTTTTCAACCATCTTTCAACAATGCAATCTTCAAACACACATCAGTTTATCCTCTAGTACGATCAACACAACCAACTGAGTTCACCTGTTCTGTAAATCTGTCAGTTCAGCATTGATCCTCTCACAGTTGACATCCTGCCAGTTTAGATCATTGAAATTGTCAATGGTTGTCATGACGTTGGTGTACAGGCCGTACAACTTCTGCAGCAGGATCAGCTCTTTACGAATTTTAAGAAACTCTGGCTCTTCTGTCTTGGGAAGCCCAAACAGTTCCTCGCCTTCACTGAAGGTTATGTGTTTGCGATACAGATAGTCAAACATCATCTGCGGGTGTTACAAAAATGTAATGATTCCCATTTTGCTAAAACTATGTCCTGAACTTAAAATAACTTTGCAAGGTAACTTAAGTTATACATATGCTGAAATGTGGAAAGTTTTAAAAGTGCTTTTCAATATTTGAAACTTGTCAGTGGCAGCAGGTGGGGATGAATTCTTGTTTCCCTTCATAATTCTAAATCTGGATATACCGCTGCATTGCTGCTGGGCTGTGAAAACGAGGAGATGATAAGAGAACACCCGACCTCATGGGCCATCATCAGAGGGTGCCAAAATCATCTTTTGCATGCTAATTGTGTGTATTAATATTTTCATCAGTGGCAACTGGTCTTTTTCAGTGGTGCAGCTTCTTGTGTGACAGCTGCTGGATAAGGGTAAGGTTTGACGGATGTGTCTACAGACAGCTCACAAGTGTTGTCAGTCGTACTACTTATTGCTCATCTTAGATTACTTGGTGTGGATATTTCAAGTTGTAAGTGGTAACAAAAATAAAGTCTTCCTCCCTCTGATTGAGACTCTGTGTACATGATCACAACCATCATACATGATCACGACCATCATACATGATCACGACCATCATACATGATCACGACCATCATACATGATATAAATATTAGTAAAAATGCTTCAGAAACAGTTTGAGTTTTCTCCCATGGAAGATTCAATTACAAAAAGAGAATGAAAGCATCACATTGCTGGTCTCATCCATCAGTATCACAATGCTGGTCTCATCCATCAGCATCACATTGCTGGTCTCATCCATCAGCATCACATTGCTGGCCTCATCAATCAGCATCACATTGCTGGTCTCATCCATCAGCATCAGACTGCTGGTCTCATCCATCAGCATCACACTGCTGGTCTCATCCATCAGCATCACATTGCTGGTCTCATCCATCAGCATCACACTGCTGGTCTCATCCATCAGCATCACACTGCTGGTCTCATCCATCAGCATCACATTGCTGGTCTCATCCATCAGCATCACACTGCTGGTCTCATCTATCAGCATCACATTGCTGATCTCATCCATCAGCACTGATGTACCATGATACCAAGACATCAGGTAAAAATTCATGGATCAATCATTACTTAAACTCACCTGGAAGTTTTGCATCCTATCATTAGCAACAGCGGGGTGGATGCCAACCTCCATAGGTCCTCTCTGGAAAGATGACATATTGTAAGGAAGACCGGTTGTTAATGGAAATAGGGAAAATTTACAAATATGGAAAACTTAAAAAATAATAGGTCTTCATTTTTTAAAAATTTAGATTCAAAGACAAATAATGACAAGCTCAACCATTAGGTATTCTTTTTCATGCAATGCAGGAAGCGAACAGTAACTCAACATGCTAAACTCAACCAATGAGTATTCCAACAGTAACTCAACATGGTAAGCCGAGAAGAAGATAATGAGTGATTCCTTTTCCCTGTATTCTGTATCTGGCTTTAACATTTTAGACTGGACACGATCCCGCAAAGTGTTGTTGCACCAGGTTCCAGTGGTTATTTACAACAATTCTTTTAGTACATGTTCAAAACGGTGTGGTTATCGGCAGACTTTTTTTTATGCCTTACAAGAAAGCTTAATGTTGGGTCAAAGTAAAGCTATTATTTGCTCATCGAAAATGTCCTTTGGTCAGTTTGGTCAGTGCAACCACTGGTACATGACTGACTCTTGGAATTAAAAACAGGACATAAGCAACGTGTACCTGAGCATCACTGACACCTGTACACCAGCTATGTGCAACCATCCGTGTGTAACCAACTATTTGTAACCCAACAGCTATGTGTAACTGTCAATGCATAAACATCTGTGTGTAACCATCTACCTGGAACCATATATGTGGGTAACCATCTGTGTATCATCCATGTTTAACCATCAATGAGCTATCATCTGTGTTTAACCATCTATGTGTAACAATCTATATGTAACCATAATGTGTAACCATCTGAGTGTTACCATCTATGTGTTACTATCTATGTGTAACCATCTAAGTGTAACCATCTTAGCATTACCATCTAAGCATTATCATCTAAGTGTTACCATATATGTTTAGTACTTTCCACTAAACTCATTCATGATTAAAGTTAGCATAAGTTCCTCATAAAAAATATGGCCAATTAATTTGGAGTAACTCTAAACAAACAAAAAACTGCCGCCATGTTTACTACAGGTAATTTTCTTGTTCGCATGCAAATTTTTCGGTCAGTTATTTGACTTACCCGATAGTAGTCATTCACAAAGCTTTCAATCTCAACAGAAAGGGACTCAACAGATACTGTGAGGTCTTCTTTGAACGTTGGTTGAATCTCCAGCAAGTGATCAGTCGCTGTCGACTGAAATATTCAGTTATAAAAAATAAAGTGGGGGCACATCACTGTATCAACAGAGGAGTGAATGTTAGCATGCTGCCCATCAAGCAACAGCAGGTTGTAGCACAATGTCAATCTATTTGTACAATATTGTCTTTCATATAATATCACAGGAAAATTACAGATTTTCTGAGCAAGACTTACAGCCAACTCCAGGAGGTTGTCATAGGCGTACCGCAAAGATTCAGCTTTTTCAATTTCCTCCTGAGGTACATTCAAGCCAAAACTTGCCATCAGTGCGTAGGCATCCTAATTTTAAAACACAAAGACTTAAAAAATTTGATAATGCATAAATGACATAAAATTTTATATTTTGAAAAGAGTAGAGATATAATCAAATAAAAAGTCAAGCCTCTGCACAACCAAAAGACCTCCCAGGACAGCACAACCAAAAGACCTCCCAACACAGCACAACCAAAAGACCTCCCAGGACAGCACAACCCAAAGACCTCCCAACACAGCACAACGCAAAGACCTCCCAACACAGCACAACCAAAAGACCTCCCAAACACAGCTAAACCCAAAGACCTCCCAACACAGCACAACTCTAAACTCCCAACACAGCACAACTCTAAACTCCCAACACAGCACAACCCAAAGACCTCCCAAACACAGCACAACCTTGACCTCCCAACACAGCAGAACCTTAACCTTCCAACACAGCACAACCCAAAGACCTTCCAGCACAGCACAACCCAAAGACCTCCCAGCACGGCACAACCCAAAGACCTCCCAGCACGGCACAACAAAAAGACCTCCCAACACTGCACAATCCAAAGACCTCCCAGCACGGCATAACCCAAAGACCTCCCAGCACTGCACAAACCAAAGACCTCCCAACACAGCAGAACCCTGACCCGCCAACATAGAACAACCTTGACCTCCCAACACAGAACGTCCCAGACTCCCAACACAGCACAACCCTCACCTCCCAACACAGCACAGACCTGACCTCCCAACACAGTACACCCCATACCTCTATAGGAGTTATCTGCTGATCAATGCTTATGTAGTTCTCTTTGATTGAATTCAGGGCACCCATGGCGAGCCGGATATCATCCATGTCTTTGATGGGCTTGCTTAGAGTCTTGTGGTTGCTGGTCATGAACTTTGTGATGTCTTCCAAGACTTCAATGATGAGAGCATTCAGCTTGTTGCCATAGGCGGCCAGCCACAAGTTTATTACTTCAATCATCTGCTGCTTAATGGTTTCTAAAAGGTGAATTCTTATCATAATTAGTGTATCATCTAACTGTATGGCAGTTCAGGTCTGCTGGTCAGATCCAGGTCTGCTGGTCAGATCCAGGTCTGCTGGTCAGATCAGGTCAACTGGTAAGGTCAACTGGTCAGGTCTACTGTTCAGGTCAACTGGTCAGGTCAACTGCTAAGATCAAATGGTCAGGTCAACATGCTATAAAAGTCTTGTTCTATTAACTACCAACATATTTAGAACATGCTATAAAGTCATTGGAAAAAGTCTTGCTGTCTCTGCTGATTTGCGAGTTTATAAAGAGAAAAACGTTTTAAATTCAAACTGTGTTATTTTCTATTTTTTAAGCCCAGTTTATATCCTCATGTATAATAATAAAAAAACCCTTGCCTGTCCTGAGTACTATGCTCTCAACAAGAATCTCAGGCTCAATATGCTCCACTTCTTCATACAATTTTGTCAAACGGAGTTGCTCCTCCTTGAACTCGTACAACCCTGGGTTGGTTTTCATGAATTCCTTAATTAGCAAATACAATTAGTTTAGGAAATGAACCAGTGAGGGGAAGACAATCATGATAAACAAATATATTTTAAAAACTTAATTAAAATATGTTACTTTTGCGTACCTTCCAATTCAGGTGAAGGCATTGTGTTAAGATAGATCATGTCTCAGCTTCTCTAGGGCATCTGATTTAGATACACACATGATCATGTGCTCGCACCATTTACTTTAGATAAACACATGATTGTGTGCTCGCACCAATTACCTTTAGATAAACACATGATCGTGTGCTCGCACCAATTACCTTTAGATAAACACATGATCGTGTGCTTGCACCAATCACCTTTAGATAAACACATGATCGTGTGCTCGCACCAATTACCTTTAGATAAACACATGATCGTGTGCTTGCACCAATCACCTTTAGATAAACACATCATCCTGTGCTTGCACCAATTACCTTTAGATAAACATATGATCGTGTGCTCATACATTCATTAAAACAATCACCTCTAAAGTCGTCTCCTTGTCCTGAAGCCAGATGTACTGATACTTGTCAAATCTTTTCAGAGCTTTCTTCACATCATCCACCAAAGGGGCAGCGATCAGACCAAGGTTGTTATATTTCATCACATCCTTGTTCTCCATGATGACTTTGTAGCAGTTCTTTTTCAGAATTAGATCAAAGGCTTGTAGGAGACAAACCAGTAATAAAATAAGATTAAATCATTCAAAAATGTTTTGGTAGTGGCAAATAGTCTGGATATATACATAGAAATTAAGTTTATGATGTTAGTTTTAATTGCCTCAAACATAGAGCCAACTACCAGCATGAGACGACTCAGTTTCAATATTTACTTCTTCCATCATCCTTGGGCACTAGATTAGTTCTAACATATACTGCAAGCAAGAGCCGTCTTAGTTTCAATAATTACTTTCTCCATCATCCTTTGACACTAAATAAGTTCTAACATCTAATACCAGCATGAGCTGTCTTAGTTTCAATATTTACTTCCTCCATCATCCTTTGGCACTAAATAAGTTCTAACATCTAATACCAGCATGAGCTGTCTTAGTTTCAATATTTACTTCCTCCATCATCCTTTGGCACTAAATAAGTTCTAACATCCAATGCCAGCATGAGCTGTCTTACTTCCTCCCTCATTCTTGGGCACTAGATAAGTTCTAACATCTACGGCAGGCATGTGCTGTCTTAGTTTCAATATTTACTTCTTCCATCATCCTTGGGCACTACATTAGATTTAATTGATACTACCAGCACGAGCTGTCTTAGGTTCAATATTTACTTCCTCCATTATCCTTGGGCACTAGACTAGATTTAACATCCAGCTCATCAAACACAGTACGGTGAGGGCTCTCCCAGATGACCACTTTTTTGCTGATGTTTTGCACAATAGCAACAGCGTTGTTCAGGGCCTGACCTATGGCCGAGGTCTTAGGTTTGGTGGTCTGGAATAGAAATAAAAAAAATACATTACTTTACCTTCCAACTCAAACTTTTTAAAGTTAAATGTGATCCTTTCAAAAGCTAACCCTAAAGGTTAAATGGAATCTCTGTCTCATTTAAACTATAGTTAAGTGCAAAACTGAGCTTTCACAGAGGGGGGAACACACACCTAACCCCCCCCCCCCCCCCCCCCAAAAAAAAATTTATTAGTAATTTAGTTTATTAAGGATATAAATTACACAGAAGGAAATTGTATAAATTTAGTCTTAGTAATAAAATTATTTTAAAAAAAAATAATCTTAATGACACAGATAAATGTGTTTTAATTTACTATTAATAAAACATTGTTTTTGGTTAAGATCTTTAGATGCTTAAATTTGTGTTATGAAATGGATGGAGCAGCTGCTATGTATAATAATAAAATGCTTTTTTACAATTGTAGGGCATTAAAGACTTACCACCTCTTGAGAGAGTTAGAGACTTACCACCTCTGGGGGGTGCAAGTTCACATCTAGGATGAAAAACGGCTTACTACCCTCTTCACCTTGGACAGAGCGAGTTCTAAGATAAAAAGTTAACAAATAAAATGGAGTCAGTTTGATATACTTGTTAAAGCATCTTACAAGCCATCTACTTAATCAATGAGTTCACATCTGTGACCTTTGGAATTAAGGGCCCAAGTTGGTTTCTCATTTTCTCATGAAAAGTTTCTTCTTCTTCTTCTTCTTCTATATCTTAAGGGCCCACGATCAATTTATTGATCATTTTGGCTCCTATGCATGTAGATGGGATTTGCAATGTTTCTGTTACTGGTGGTGATGAGGAAATTATGCAGAGGAATTAGCTGGGGTTCAAGCATTTTTTTAAAATTTAATTTTTGCTTAGCAACATAAATTCTTGAAAGTGTTTGGGTTATGTTGAATTTTTTTTCATGACCTTCACCTGAGGCTGATATGACCTACAGCTGAGGCTGACATGACCTACATCTGTAGCTGAGGAAAACAGTTTGCCCACAGATGACCTAGAGTGGTTAATAATTCATCGCTAAAAATCTTACGCATGGAGAAATCTTTTCCTCAGCCCCATGAGAGTGACCCGTACGCATCTGGTCAATGCGTCAATCATCTTCAACTTGAAGTCCTCATACATGTTGATGCAGCTCAGCATGTAGTTGTCACGTGTCATCAAATCCTCGGGCAGTGTATGCTGGCTGATATCATGGCTTGGAATGAGCTGCTCAATGGCCGACTGAGCAAAACTAAGTGGTTGATATTTTCTACCTGTTGATGACACCACATAAAAGAGTAGGCTGGTTGGATAGAGTAGGCTGGTTTGATAGAGTAGGCTGGTTGTATAGAGTAGGCTGGTTGGATAGAGTAGACTGGTTGGATAGAGTAGGCTGGTTTGATAGAGTAGGCTGGTTGTATAGAGTAGGCTGGTTGGATAGAGTAGACTGGTTGGATAGAGAAGGCTGGTTGGATAGAGTAGGCTGGTTTGATAGAGTAGGCTGGTTGGATAGAGTAGGCTGGTTAGATAGAGTAGGCTGGTTTGATAGAGTAGGCTGGTTGGATAGAGTAGGCTGGTTTGATAGAGTAGGCTGGTTGTATAGAGTAGGCTGGTTGGATAGAGTAGGCTGGTTGGATAGAGAAGGCTGGTTGGATAGAGTAGGCTGGTTTGATAGAGTAGGCTGGTTGGATAGAGTAGGCTGGTTTGATAGAGTAGGCTGGTTTGATAGAGTAGGCTGGTTGGATAGAGTAGGCTTGTTTGATAGAGTAGCCTGGTTTGATAATAAATGCAGACAGACTGTCGAAGAAAGGAACAAATAAAAAATAGCCTTGATACAAAGGAAAACAAGAAAGACAAGACACACATACAAGAAAGCCAGAGGGAAAGCAACATAAATGTGTAGGAAGATAAAGAGGGAATGGGGAAAAGCTAAACTAAAAGAAATAGAAGATTTATCAAGAGAGGGAAACATCAGAGGAATGTACATGAAGATAAAAGATGAAACGAATGGACATCAAGCCAGAACGGAAATGTGTGTGAGTCAGGATGGAGAATTAATTACAGAAAATAGTAAAGTACTGGAGAGGTGGGCTGAATATTTTGAGGGCTTGCTAAATGCAGACAATAGACAAGATGAAGATTATCAACTCCCACATTGAGGACCAGACCCGTTTATACAATGCCCAACCCTAGAAGAAAGTACAGAAGTAATCAAGTCTATGATAAACCACAAAGCCACTGGAGAAGACCTCATCTCACCAAGACTTATAAAATATGGAGGAAGAGAGCTACACACTCAGACACATAAACTTATAGCTAAAATTTGGCAAGAAGAGAAAATTCCAAAAGAATGGGAAACAGCATTAATAACCCCAATACACAAGAAAGGCTCCAAACTTCAGTGCACAAACTACAGAGGATCTGCCTATTAAATGTTACATACAAAATACAGAGGAAGCTAATTGCCAAAAGACTACAACCGCACACTGACAAAAGGATTATAAGCTGTTTCCCAACAGCTGATTGCCTCTCTCAACGCCAAGGGAACATCATGTGGATGATACAGTGGCGCCGCAGGAGTTGTCAGAATGTTTCATTGTACCAATATTATCCGCCTACGGGACTCCATCTGCATTCAGAGTTTCCTTCTCTTAGATAAGTTGCCGGCCAAGGTTGACGAGTCTCATCCACCTGGGGTGCTGGTGATGTTTTTGCTTTGGCAGGAATTGAACTCCAGACCAACATCTTGAAATTTGCTCAGTTAGGAGCACTTTGCCACCCATCACCCAGAAATGTTAAAAATATCCTAGTACATCAACTCTATGTGGAATATAAAATAGTATCAAAAGGAACTATCTGTATGAGACTCTGCAGGAGTTTGACATATGCAACAAACTGAGATCACTGATACACGTAACATTAAAAAAATGAAAAAGCAAA